GTGCCCTGATCTTGGTTTCCAATAAAAGGAACCAGGGCTCCTTGGAAATAGGACTGCTTCTAGCACTGGGGCAGAAAATATACAAGATGAGCCTGAAGCATCTCGTGCTACAAAAAGATGAAGTGCTAAACTAAAAAATCACAGTGATTGGGAGTATGTCACACAGACAGCAGAGCCAAGTGAAGGAGCTTCCAGTGACCAAAGCTGGAACTGTTTCAGCAACAAAATAAACTAGTATTGGATTATAATCCAAAGTAAATGATAAATATCAATGAGTCCATACTGATATAAATAAATGAATAAATAAATAAATAAATGGGAGAGGATAGACAAATCTCTCATACAGAAGAATTCCAAATAACTTTTGTAGATGCTTAAGCGTGGGCTCTGCGTAGTGACTTCCTTGCAAAGAGTGTAATATGGAAAGGGGGAAAAAAAGTAACCGTATAGTGGAGAAACCTGACAGACACTAGCTCAGCCACGGATCAAGGTTAACATCATCAATGGTAAGCCCTGTTGATGGCATGTACCTTTGATATGAGGTGCTGAGAATGGTACTTTACCTCTGTGGTCTTCCTACTCAAATCCTACAGCCTCAGTCTAATCATGAGAAAAACATCAGACAAATTCCAGTTGAGGGACAGTCTACAAAATATCTGAAATATCTGACCAGGACTCCTCAAAACTGTCAGGGTCATCAAAAAACAAGGGAAGTCTGAAAAACTATCACAGCCAAGAAGAGCCTAAGGAGATAAGATAACTAAATGTAATGTAGTATCCTAAATGGGATCTTGTACTGGAAAAAGGACATTTGGTAGAAACTAGGGGAATCTGAATAAAGGGTGGACTTTAGTTAATATAAAAGAATGATTTAATATAAAAGAATGATATAAATAGAATGATTTCAATTTCTCCGAAGGGATCTTAGAATATCCTACTTTGCATAGTTGAGTGAGCACTGGCTTGGGAGTTGTAAACTCTGACATTTAGGCCTCTCTGCCATTTTATAACAGTATAACCATTAAGCAGAGCATCACTCTGGACTTCATTGTCCTGTTTCTGTAAAATTGGCATAATAAAAATTGCTATTATACTTCCTTCACAGTATTGGTAGGAGATCCAAATGTATTAATATTAATATAAAATACTTTGGAAAACATATAAAGTACTAGATACATTGAGGTAGCTTGAGTTAATTCTTATCATTCTGAGACCAAAATTTAAAGAGTCGGGCATTAGAAACAGAATTATTTCCTCTTCAGAACTAAGAGATTTGGAAATTCTGAACTAAAGCTTTGCTTATAAGAAAAAAAAGTAAGCAAAATTTTGTAGATACCAGGGAAAAGCTTTGTTGTACAACAACAATAATAAAAGCTGAGGTTTATTGAGTACTTAGTATGTACCAAGGCCCTTTTAAGCACTTATTTAATCCTCATTAACAACTCTATGAGGTAGAAGTTGTTATTCCAGTTCTATAGCCCAAAAATGTAAGGCACAAAGAAGTTAAATAGCTTGCTCAGTGTCACACAGCTAGTGTAGTGACTCCCTCTCAATAGTAGTGTTCCGTTGTAAACATGACGTGCAAGGGTCTGGCAAGGTTAGGAAGAGGTTGAGAATATCAGTGACACCCTCTGAGGCATCTAGGCATGTCAGATCAAGATTTATTATTCAGAGAAGTTAAGTCAGCTGCTCCATAGGGATCAGTTGTTTTATTCCTGGAAAATGTTTTCCATTTTGCAGCAAATCTATATCTGACCTGCTGAGGAAATCGTTTGCTGAAATGAATCCAGAAAGCAGAGAAAATGCTTCATTACTTTAAATAGTAGCACTAAGCCCATTTAGTCTCTGGATTGTCCCTTCTTGGAGTTTGCTAATGCTTCCAACTTAGTCATTTGAAGCTCAAGAGTATGATTTTGTATGCCCCTGCCAATGTCCTCACCTATTGCAAAATGGATAATTAGCAATTTATTTTGGACTATATATTACAAAATCTAAAACATAAGATCCTATCCACATATTTCATTATTATTAAATCAATATTGTGCTGTTTTGTGATACTTTCTTTTTTGTTTTCTAGAATTCTTCTGTGGATCTAATAGAATAAAGACCTCTTGAACCCAGTTCCACTGAATTCTTATTTTTCTGTTCAAATAGAGAGGAATCAGGCATTGGTCTTCTTTACTTCCCTTCCTGAGATAGAAGAAATCTCCCATGTGTATAAATGGAAATGTCCTGGCACCTCATGTTTTCTCTACTCATCCCATGATGTACAGGTCTGGCTAGTTAGGCTCTTGAAGTTAAAAGCTCAGCCTATATTTGCTGTTGTATTGTTTTAGCTAGCTCTTTCTCAGATGGTCTTCGGCTTTCCCAATATTAATAAATCGACGTATGAGATAGCTTGGGCACTACCAGGTATGGCTTGTTACTTGTAAGTTATCACTAAGAGGTATATGTTCACTGTTCTTTTTTTCAGTGTATCAAAAATCCTTTCAGTTCCATTCTTTCATTTTGTGAGCAGGACTAGTTACTTGACTGAATTCGAGGCTCTTAATTTTAAAATGTATGTTTTTTGACTGTAGTAGAAGTCTCTGTTGTGAGATACAGTATGATTGGGTAGAAAGGAAATTAAAAGAGCTGGTGATTTTTTGTTCTTTTGGGGGTTTGGTTTGGTTTTTGTTTTATTGTTTTTTGGTTTTTTTTTTTTGAGACAGAGTCTCTCTGGACTCTGTCATCTGGGCTAGAGTGCAGTGGCGTCATCATAGCTCACTGCAACCTCAAACTCCTGGGCTCAAGTGATCTTCCTGCCTCAGCCTCCCAGAGTGCTAGGAGCCTGCACGCCCTGGCCCCCCAAGCTATATTTTTCATAAGAGCCCTCAGATTAATGATTCTCACTGTCCCTCCTCTAAATTGGGTAGCATTATCTCAGCACTTCTGGGAGAGCTTTTTAATGAGCCTTCTCTCTACTTCTGGATCCCCTAGGGAAGTTTGATTAAAAGATTTTGTTTATCTAGGAAAGTGGGTGATTATATTAAAGCTTTGCCTTGTCTGTTTATGACCATAAACTAATACTTCTGAGGACGAAAAGGGGGATAAAAAAGATGAGGAGAGGAAAGGAAACACTTTCTCATTTCTCTTCATTTTAACAACAGCACAACTAAAGATCTTCTCAGATGATGCAAGTGCTTAGAAAATGGTTATGGGAAGCAGAGTGATTAAAGGAAAAACATTTTCCCCTCAGCGTTGGAATTCTCAAAGCTAAAAGATCCTTTTAACAAGTCCTTGCAGTCCTACCCTCCCGGTTCCCTGCTGAGCCAGACTGGTCAGATCCTGTCCGAAGGAAAACAGCATTTCCCACCCAAGGGAAGAGCCCTCATTCCAGCATTATGGCCCTTTCTGACTGCAAAATCACTTGCACTGTAATTCCCATTCCTTTGGAAATCTTTAAATGATTCTTTCAACTTGACCCAGGGCCTTGACTGCTGTCTCAGACCCCAAATTGCCTGTGATATGATGCCAACATCCTGGATCACTGGCTTTGTTATTGGACATAACAACAGGCTATGGCATTAAGATGATGAACAAATCATGCTGGCATCCAACTTGAATTCTGTTTCATTTCATCAGGAAAGCCATTTATCTACAGCTATTGCTCTAAAATCAGTGCATGGTCCTACCCCAAAAGAATTCATGCACCAGTTGTTGGCTTGAAGAACAGGCATCTGAAAGCCTTGAGGTTTCAAAAGAGTTAAGGGTAGCCTTAATTTAGCAGAAGGCCCTGCAGAAGGATGCCAGGGGATTCCCACTGTAACACTCAAGTTACTCTTTTGAAATAAAGCTCCATCGATGACAGCGTTAGTTGAAGGTCAGGCAGTGGAGATGCTTAACCTCTATTCCACATTTACTTCTCGGATGATGCAAGTGCTTAGAAAATGGTTATGGGATGCAGAGTGATTAAGGGGAAAACATTTTCCCCTCAGCGTTGGAATTCTCAAGCAGTATGTCCAGTTTGGAAAACTGCCCCTTCAGGGCTTCAATGAAGAGAAGTGAAATACTCCATCTAGTGGTCAAAGAAGGGAAAGGTAAAATGAGAAGCTTCCAGGACAAGGTTTGTGGGGCAGGGGCAGAGTAACAGGACAGTGGCCTCTCAGCAAGTGTCTTCTCTAGAACATGATAGAACCTGGCCTTGGCGGTGTTGGTACTCTTTAAATATGCCTGCACTAGATGAGGAATCTGGGACACCATCCTTACCAACCCACTCAGCAAAACTGTCCTCACAGTGAACGGGGATCATGTTGGCAGGTTATAAACCATTTGATTCTCTGAAGGGAGGCCCTCTCCCATCCCTACCCTCATGAAGAAGAAATGAACCCAGTCACTCATGCCTCTAAGTTTTTGTCTTGTGCCCGAATTTGTGAATATGTGAGTTTGAGAGGAACAAGAGTGCAACATGAACTTTAAAATGGAGGGAAAGTCAGTCTATCAAAGGATCAAACACAAATGTTACTCAACAAGGCGATCAGGAAAAGGATAAGGTGCTCTTTGTGTTCCCAGTAACTGCACCCTCTCTACCCTTGCTTTCAGTAGAAGTTGACTAAAGTGACTTTCTGGGAATTTCCCAAGGTACAGGTCATATTTAATACCTAGTTGGCCCAGTACCCACAGTGCTAGTGCTTCCTGATTGTAATCCTGCAACAACCTCCCAGTACCCTGAACCAAAGGGCCCACTGTCTTTTCTTCCTGTACCTCCCATTATTACTTCCTCGTTTTCCCCAGTTCTGGGGAAGAGCTTTTAAGCAATAATACAGTTCACATTTCCTGCAACTCCAATTGCCACTGCAGACCTTAATCAGAGCCTGCTTTCCAGGCAGTAATTAGGGTGTCCCTTTAGTCAGAGCCTCCCTCTCCCGAAGCTTGGCATGCTACCAGCTCCTCTGTCCTACCTGCAGTTTGTAACATCCCTCTGTCCTCTGTCACGGAAGAAGACACGGAGAGCCTGGCCGTTTCCACACCTGCCCTTTATTGGACTCATCTAGCAGGGTAGCTCCAGGCCCTTCACTCTTCTCAGACACCACCCACAAGGGTTTAGGAAGGTGCCATCATTCTGTGAAGGCCCAGAGCCCACCCGAGTCTTGGAGCCCCGGGTTGAATCACCAGCTGGAGGGTTAGGAGAGGAAAAGGAAACAGGCAGACGGGAAAGGCAAGGCTCTTCAGTGAAGGAGGCTGATGTCAAGGGAACGCTTAGGTCCAGCAGTGTCTCCTGAGGACGTGCCGAATCCTAAGGAAGGTACTGGATGGATAGGAGAAGTGTGTGCTGAGCGGCTCACACCTATATGGCCACTTTGAGGAGGCGCCTGATGTCAGGCTCAATGTTGATGGTGGGGAAGGTGCGGCTGTAGCGTCGGAAGGGCTCCCCCTCCGGCCCTATGAGGAACTTCTCAAAGTTCCAGGCCACATCTGAGCGGCGCACTGGGCTCCAAATGATGAACTTGGGATCGGTCATGAGGGAAAACGGGTCATCATAAGGGTAGGGGAGCTTGTCCTTCAGGTAGGCGAAGACAGGATGCTCGTTCTGCCCATTCACCTCACACTTTTGGACAAGGGTAAAGGTGGGCTGGTATCCACCCCCAGGGCGGACATACTTGAGACTGTTCAGGATCTCCTCATTTTGACAGTTCTCCTGGGGGAGGAAAAAGACAAAGGCATGGAAAAGGGAGAGGGAAATGAAGGATCGACAACATGCATATCGTTCACCCTCCTACACTCCCTTCCCAGGATATCATTCTTTTCTTTCTCTCTCTCTCTCTCTCTCTCTCTCTCTCTCTCTCTGTGTGTGTCTTTCTTTCTCCATTTGCTTCGCCCTACTCTTGACTTGGAATTTTCCCTCTTACAGTTACTGTGTGATGGTTTGCTAGGCCATTTCTGAAAGTTCTTGCAATTTGTAGCTTAGCTGTTCTTATACTTAAAGATTTAGCACTTTTGAGCTGTTGCTTCTGTCTCCAGTCTACCCTGAGCAGTTATTAAGGTGTTTGAAGCCTCGAGGAACCTTGAGTTCGGGGCAGAAGAAAGAAAAGGAAAGGAGGCAGGTCATACTGCCTGGAACCTCCACTTGGACTCACCTACCTGCCTACCCAGATACACATACACACACACACACACACACACACACACCCCTTCCCTTTCCCTCTGCCTTGGTTTGGCCTCCCATGCTTCCAATTACATATGTGTGAGTATAACCTTTGCCTGTGCCCTACTCAGCTCCTCGAACGAAGGGTGAAATCGAGGCCCTGAGGAATGTGATGGACGGCTTCTTGCTTTCATCTTGCCTTGTCCTAGACGTGAAGTGCAAATGGGAGGAAGCTCTGATGAAGGAAGACCACACCCAAGGAAGTCTAGTTTCAAGGTGCCATAAAGGCAAAGCAAGTTAGACACAACAATGAATGTACTCTAAATGGAACTACTTGGTGGCCAAGAGAGAATTAAATAGGATAGAGGGCTTCGGGTTCTGGAATAGGCCAGGGAGAGGGGGAGTGGAGGAAATAAGTGCTTGATGGCTAAAGGTTGCGAATATGTAATATTCCTTTCACTTCTAGGCTGCTATCCAAAGACCCTGTACCACATAGCCATGCACCGTATTCAGCTGTGAATGCTTTAGCTCAGAACCTGTTCCCGGATTTCCTTGCCCAGTGCCATCCCTGTCCTATCCCTGCCTCAGCTTTCCCCACACCTGACAACTCCAAAGGCCTGTGGGAACCCTTATTTTCCACCCCCTCCTCCCCGGTTTGAGTCAGATATCTCCCTCTGGGAGAAAGTTCCTGCCTCTAACCAGTAGAAACAATTAATACAGTCATTTCCAGGCCATGATGACATGAGCCCACAGCTGATCTTTATTAGACTTCCTATCCCTTAATGCAGATGGCTGGCTGGCTCCTGGTAGGCTATAGACTTCCTCTAGCAACTAGGTGGCCTGAAGTGATGGTGTAAGGCTGGCAGCACTTCTAGGGTGGGAGAGAGACCTCTCAAGAGGTTCTGCCCTTTCTGTCTCTCCTGCTCTAGCAAAGGCTAGAAAGAGAACCGAGACAGGGAAAAAGAAGAGTGAGAGCAGTTAATAGTTTGGGCTCAGGTTTGTCAGAGCCAATGATACTTCAGCCTTCCTGCTTACATCTCTTTCTTGCCTTCACACCACTGTGAATTGAACTAAGGGGATTGCTACTAGAGGGTTCACTTGGGGACATTCTGCCTGCTTGTACAATTAAAATCATAAGTGGAAATAGAAGAATCCCTACAAGATGACTTGAGGTGTGTGGGCTGAAGATCTATAACAACTTGACTCATGTATCAGAGAGAGAGGTCCATGTGATGCCCAGAGGAGACATGCCCATTGAAAACCTTTCCCTCTCCCCCATATTCACTTTCTACTTGGCTAATTTAAACAAACAAAAAATCTTCAATCTAAATAATGAGGTTGCTTATATTGGCACAGTACTTTATATTTTTCAAGTTACTTTTGTATATTCTTTCCCTGAACCTCATAATATTCCTATGAGCTAAGTGATATTATCCCCAATTTACAGATGAAAAAACTAAACCAGAAAAATCAGGTGCCTCTTCCAAGGGCACAGAGCCATTAAACAGCAAAACCAAGTCTAGCTAGAACCAAAGCTTCCTGAGTCAGTCCAGTCCTAGTTTGATTCTTGATCTTTTATTTCCTCCACTCATTCGTTCAACAAACATTTAATGAGTGCCTTCTGTACCCTAGGCACTGAGGACACAAAAGGAGAGAAAGGCAGACCTGGTACCAGGCCTCATGGAGTACAGAGGGAAGACAATCAACAATAAAACCGCACACCCTCAGTGTTCAGTCTTAAAACGTATGTACTTCCCCTTGGTATTTCACATGCACCTAAAGACCTGGATTAACAAAACGTACCCCACAATTCCAGACACTCCAACACACGGTCATTCAGCGCCCCCTCTTATCCCACTCAAGCTATACCAACCCAAATCCTTGGGGATAATACAAGGGACCCCTCACCTGATGTCCAAATTGGTTGCAAGGGAAGCCAAGAACCACCAGGCGCCTGGGAAAGCGGCACTGCAGCTCATTGAGCTGGGTGAAGTCCCGGGTGGTGGTGCCTCAGAGGGAGGCCACGTTCTCAATTAGTACTGCCCTGCCTCGGAACGTATTGAAATCTACCTTCTCGCCATCCAGGCTGATGGCACTGAGGTCGTAGAAGGACTTGGCGATGTAAGCCATGGCAAAGTGCAGCGTGAGTCCTGCAGAGCTGGTCAGCCCTCTTAGGAGTCTGTCAAAGGGGTGGGGAAGAAGGAGGAGCCAGGAAGGAGGACAGAAAGGATCTAACAATGGGGCTTTGATTATCCCCAGGATGACTTAGCAAAAACAGGCACTCACCTGTAAGTGCCGTTGGAACAAGGTTTATAGACGCTGAACAAAACCACCTCCCCGCCCCACCCTGCTGGCCACCTGGGAAGGGCCAATTTGGTATTTATGAACAGATGTGAATAATTCACTACTTGCAGGAAACCAGAGCCCTAAAGGTCGAATGGGAGGAAAAAAGGGAGGGAGGGATGCAGGATTGACTCCTGCTTGCCCCAGCAAGTCGTTCCCACTTGGCACAGACATTCATTGAATACCCCTGAGTGCCAGTCTCTGAATTGTGCAGCGAGAGGTCAGGGGCCGCCGAGATCTGAAAGATGAGGAGAATTGGGGCTAGTGTCCACCTGCCTCAGACTCCAACTGAAATGTACATACTATGTTCACATTGTTCTCTGTGGCTCTTACTTTCCACAAGCACAAAATCAAAGGGACCCTTAGGAGGAGAGTGTGTCATTTTCTAGAAAAAAGTGGGTTTCAGTGCCTCAGCTTTCACCAGACTAAGGAGGTGAAGTTGTGTTTGTCTTGAAATCTTTCAGTGAGTGGTGTTACTTGCCCTGGAGAACACATCTGCCCTGGCCCCTGCACTGCACCTCTCCTACGTTATACCCCCACCTCCACCTCCACCCCCAGAGTCATGAGGATGAAGTCCTCGCCCACAGAATGCACAGCCAAAGCGGGTGAACTGCGCCTCCCTCCCTCTCAGACAAAGGGCCAGTCCCCAAGACTTCACAGAGGGGGCTTGTGCAGGTCATCTCCCCACAGGAGGGAGTCAGAGCTGCTGTGGTTCTAGGCCCAGGTAGGTGGCCACTCTTGCTGTTTTCAACACCAACGATGCAGCGTATTGCAGGACATCTGCTGAGAGCTAGTGTGGACGCCCACCCCCAGAAGCCACAGAAACTATTAATAAAACGACCCTAATGCCACTTCATTCCTCCAAGCACCCACCAACTCAACGTGGCACTTTTTTTTTAATGCCTTGATTTCTCCATCAGTAAAACTAGTAATTAGGCTTTACCTGGCTTTGGGATTTGAGAGTGAAATCTCAGTAACAAAGCAAATGTTCACTAGAGGGTGTTTTCACAGGTGCACGCCCACTGGGAACTGTCGCCTTGAACGAGTGCGTGTGGGGAGCAGCTGGCCCTGAGAATCTGATTTATTGAGGAAATGGAGGAGCTACTCACCAGGGAGTGCCCAGCTTTTCTGCCTTGTACCTTGTTCTCTGCTGGCTGCTCCCTAAAAACAAGTTTCCATCACCTAAGTGGGTAGAAGGGGTGACAGGAAGTGTGGAGTGAAGTGTGTCTCCTGCTGAGGCTGGGTGGAGTTTCTAGAAGTAGCCAATAAGCATCCCTGCCAAGCCACTGAGTCACCAGGACGTGGCACTGATAGGGGGCAAAACTCTACTTGCCAGGTCTATCTGCATGCCTCGACCCCCACCCCCAGGACTCTCTGGGCTTCCAGAGACACCTTACTCGATTCTCTTTTGCAAGCCCTCTTCAGGAAGGCCATAGAAGTTCCTGAGCCAGGAGTGGGGGGTTCTTTCCTCCTTAGGTAGGTGCCGTCCCCTTTCTGCAAGTGCAACTTTGGACCCTTCCGAGTCTCCCAGCGTTCTCAGATTTTACAATTTAATAAAATTGATGAGGCTCTCTCAGCATACCTCTTTGTCTCCAATATGACCTCCAGCTGGCCCCATTTTCCAGAAGCTCATAACTTTGGGTATGCACTAACAGGCATGTGATCCTCACGGCTTTCTGCAGGGCAGTGCTTGTTAAGGACACAGCACCAGCTTAGTAGGCAGAAAGCCTCTGTCGGTGGTTCTCCATTCTAACTGCAAATGAGAATTGCTTATAAAGATTTTTCTAAATAGAGACGCCAAAGCTTTACCCTCCAGAGATTCCAATTCCGTGGTTTCTAGCCACAATCCTGCCACTGTTGCGTGGGTCTGTTCGGCAAATCTTTAAGCTCTCTGAGCACCTGTTTCCTCATCTGTTGAACATGGACAAAGATAACCACCCTATCTCACAGTGATCGTTAGGATCAAAGAGATAAAGTATCACAAGTGCTCTGTAAACTGTAAAGTGCTAAGATCTTAAGACTACCATTGCCTTACCTTTACTCCTGTCTTCATTCTATCCTTAGTCCAAAACACTCTCCACCTCCTTCATCAACTCCACAGCCCAAAGTATAATACTAAACACCTGCTCTGCCCCGAGATTCCAGTCTGCCTCTGCTGCCCTGAGGTATTTAATCACACATCTGAAAGATTATTCAATCCCTCTTCATGCCTTCAGGAAGACCTGTTCCATCCCAAACAGATGAAAAACGCCTTGGCTTTAAAGACTCCCTCAGGCGGTGGCTCACGCCTGTAATCCCAGCACTTCGGGAGGCTGAGGCCGAAGGATCGCTTGAGGTTAGGAGTTCAAGACCAGCCTGGGCAACATAGTGAGAGCCTGTCTCTACAAAAAATAAAAAATTAGCCTAGGCGTGCTCGTGCACACCTGTAGCCCTAGCTGCTAGGGAGGCTGAGGTGGGAAAATTGCTTGAGCCCAGGAGTTTGAGGCTGCATTGAGCTATGATTGCACCACTGCACTCCAGCCTGGGGGGACCCTGTTTTAAAAAAAAAAAAAAAAAAAGACTCCCTCAGACACAGATGTTTAACATCCTCCCAATAACTGTGCTTAATTTTATTTCTGCAGCATAAGCCCACTGCAGGACAGTGGGGGCTTTGCTTTGGGCTTCCCTGCAGGTGGCACGAGGGAAGGTGCAAAGGCAGACAGTGTTTGCTATTCCCATTGTCATTTTCCAGCTGCTGCTTTCAGGTTCTGGAGCCTTTAATACCTGCGATGCCTGCCCCGCTCCCCGCACCACGCCCAGGCACTCACACAGGCAGCCACCCCTGTGATTTGAAATAGTCTTTATTTTGTAAACATCTGTTTAAAATAGATGAACCCTGCTCACAACTCATGTAATGGACCCGAGACACAGTACACGAAGTTCACCCGTCACAGGGAGATGGAGGGGGCTTGGGCGCAGGTGGCGGCCCGGGACTGGGCTGAATCTCAAGACAATAGGTGTTGAGTAAACAGGCAGGAGAGCCTGCTCAATGGCACGGGCCTTAAGCCACAGCCCGGACTGCCCCCGGACTGCAGAGGTTTAGGGGTGAGAGGCCGACTCTGGTACCTGGTGAACAAGGCTGCAGCCTACAGTCCCAAGTCTCCGGCTCCCATTCCTTCTCCCTGCTGCGGACGCGGCTCAGCAGTCCACAAAATCGGATTCCATGTTTTCACTTCCAGAACCCCCAGGGTACAGTATAAATATAGTCCCTCTTTCCTGAGGGGGCTAGGAGAGAAAGCCAATGGGGCTCTGCCTGGTCCTCTGCAAAGCTGCAATACCGATCGCAGGCAGGAGCCAGTGCCTCATACATCTCTCTTGAGCCCCTGGCTGAAGGCTGGCCTTCCCAGCCCCTGCGTGATGCTGCATAGGTCTTGACACCCGAGGATTTATAACTATTCCTGCCCTTTTCCTTCCTCCATCTAACTTAACCCACTCCGAAATCCTGAGCCACCCTCTCCTGCTGGCTTGTGTCCTGGTTCAATAAGAGCCAGGAGGAAAGGTTTGGTGGTTTTATCCCCAGCCCCTTTCTTGGAGGAGTAAGGAAGTGGGGTTCTTATCCCTCACGAGTGCGCCCTGGATTCGGGCCCTTGGTTGGTGAATGCTCGATGCCCAGATGTGCGGTTCTTTGTTTTGGCTCCAGCCCCAGCCACGTAGCACAGCTAATGTACGAACGACCCTCGGACCTAGGCCTCTACCACCTGGGAAAGGTGAGGAGGAATCCTAGTAGGGCTGGTAAATGTCTCGTTCCTTTTCGATGGGCCTCCTTCAAGCTACTCTTGGGCCATATGGGGTTAAAGAAACTTCTGAAACACAGAGCTCTGGAGGAGGGAGTCCTCTTCTCTCCACCTGCAGCCACAGTGCAGTTGGCAAACCCTCAAGCCTACTCAGGAGCCAGAGGGCAGGAGGAGCACTTGTCTCAAAGGCTGAAGAGAACAGCACCAAGCACTTCCACCCAGGGCCTGCCTTCTCTCTTCTCATGAAGACACTGCCCTTCTCCCACAAACTGTGGATCCCAGGAGAACCTTGAGAGCTGAAGGCTGGGCTCAGTCCTCTGCCAGGATGTCTGGGGAAACACTCTTCTTACCCCAGAAATGGAAGATGGGGCCCAGGAGGTCCTGCTGCCATTTTCCCCTCTGCTTTGCAAAATGCTGTCCCTGGCCAGCTCTCCCTTGCTCTTAACCTGACCCGTAGGAGCTAGTCCTTCATTCCCAAATGCTCCTCCCCTCAAGTGCACGGTGGGCTTCACAGTGCCACTGGCCCCAGGGCTTTCCCTGTCCCTGGAGTACCCTCAGGCCTTGGTCCACATCTTTAAATTCAGTAGCCCAGATGGAGAGAAAATGTGTACACGCTGCATGGGAGGTAGACAATGGAGGTGACTTTTTATCCCTGCCACCCCTCATCACTTATTTTCCATCTCTGAAGCACCTGCCTCTGAGCTCAGTTCCCCAATGAGGCAGGCGGACAGCCAAGCAAGGCCAGAGCTCAGGGAGGGGGAGCAAGTAGAGGTAGGACAGCCCCAGGCTGGAGGACCACCAGGTCGGTGTTTCCTTCCTACCTTGATGTTCCGCTTTCCCAGGTCACTGGGGAGGCTGGCCCATGGCGGGAGAGGGACGGTGGGGAGGGGAGGAGGAAGCAGCACCCTATAGCCTTTGGCCCACCCACAGAACAGGGTGGGGGGCTCTCCCTGGAGCAGCGGATGGCCTGTTCCCATGAGCCTGGGTCCGTTCCCTTGGACAGGGTCGGGAGGAAAGGAAAGCACTGCAGCTGCAGCCACACGGCAGGACGTACAGGGAAAGTGGCAGGAGGGGCTTTGATGCGAAACACACCGGAGGGGAAGGGGCTGGAGAAAGACCCGTGGGGAGAAGGGAGAAAAACCAGAGGAGACAAAACGCACCGAGAAAGAAGGAGCCTTGCAGGGGCCTTGACTCCACGTTGCCTGGGGAGCGCGGGGCGGTGACACGGTGCTCGCGGCACGTTCTGGGGTCAGAGCAGGCCCGTGGCTGGGGGAACAGGCTCAAGGGCACCACTCCAGGGTGGAGGGGCTGGGGCAAAGGCTGCTCGGGGATGACAGCAGAGCTGCTCTCAGGGCTAGGCAGGGGGAGTGGCAGCTACTGGCATTCCACAGGGTCATCAAATGAGAGGGCAGCAGCAGGGTGAAGCCAGGCTCCCCCGTCTGCCCACAGGCCTCCTGAGGGAAGAGGGCGCCGTGTGGGGTGCCCCACGCAGGACTCTCAGCACCAGCAGGTTTTGGAAGAGTTCGCTGGACCCTCAGGTTTGCCCTCCTCTTCCTCCAGCTCTGCTAACGCCAACTCGTTGCTGGCACGTGTCCGGAGACCCTCCAGCTCCTTCCTGTGGGCCTGCAGCACCAGCTCCGTCAGCCGCGTGAACGACTGGAAACCAAGGGCACAGGTTAGTCCAGCGTCCTCTCTTCAGCCCCTGGGCAACACGTGAGGCCCATCTTATCCTGGGGCTCTACCTCTCACCTCCCCACCTTGCTGGACTCAGCCAGCAGGAGCAGACAGCTGGTCACCAGGGCTCTCACCTCTTTAATGTTGAGGTTGGTGCAGGCACTTGTTTCATAAAAGTCCATGCCATACTCCTTAGCCAGCTGCAAGAGAAGGACATTTCTGAAAGAGAGTCAGTAAGGGAAGGGAGGTGCCCACGCCACCAGGCACACCCTTCTGCCATTGCACTCACAGACCGTGCTACGTAGTGACAATCTCCCAGAGCAGATAACTTCTCCGACCACACTGGGAGCTCTAAGACATAGGCTGGCAGAGGTGGGGGCAGAGGCTCCACAAATACACCTCCCCAACCCGCCCACCCCTCAACACACACACGTTGTGTATCAGGAGACAAAGACACCAAGCTGTTGTGCAGCACGGCACATTGGTGACAAGCAGGGGCTCTGAGTCCAACAGCCCCAGACCAGACTACCAGGGCTGCCACTTAGCAGCTGCACAGCCCTGGGCAAGTTACTGGTGCTCCCTAAGCCCTGGCTTCATCTTCCGTCAAAGGGGCCTGATAGTGTCTATCATCCGAGCTTGTGGAATGATTAAATGGGGTCATACACCTAAAAGCACTTGCTTAGCTCAACGCCACACATGCGGTACTCAATAAATACTATTATTCAAGTAGGCTTTGCCTCTACTTTCGAATTTGTCAATGACCATGTATTATTTTTTATATCAAAAAAATCAATTTTGTTTTAAGTGCTAATGGAAAGCTATTGACTGAAGAGGAAGAGAAAAGCTCTTGAGGCCCATGGAGCAGGTGGATGACTTGTCTGAGAAATATCCCTCTTCCTTTCTGTGCTCTGGGAAGATGATCTCCCTGCAGCCTGGCCACTGCCCCAGCCCCATCCTCCTACCCTCCTACCCTCTCTGTCCCTGGGGCTTCTCAAACAGCAGCCTTCCTCCCCCCATTTTTCTTCCTGCCTCTTTCCAGGCATAATGAGGGACGGGGTGGGATGGGAGATCTGTTTCCTGACTGGAAAATGGCAGCTGTGCCAGGATGCTGTTAGAGACATCAGCAACTTGAAGTCCTTCCTCATCACTAACCCAGGGATGGATGACCTCTTAAGCAGAAGGCAATCCTGCTTTTGGGAACTTGGATGTGGGAGAGTTGCCCAAGAGGTCTTTGTTTGTGGATGGACCCCAAACCACTGACCTGAAGGACAGAGAGGACACCCGCTGAGCATAGCCACTCCACTAGTCCTCAGGGTGCAGGAACGTGTGGGAGGACCCTCTGCTGGCAAACACATTCACACTCTTGGGTCCCCACGCTCAGGACTGGCCCTGGACGTGCGGCAGAGCACCCGGGATGGACGTACCTGCTGCCCTTGCTCTCTCCCCACCTGCCGTTTCTGCTCCTCATCAGCCTTGTTCCCTATAAGGATCTTCTGGACACCTTCTGGTGCATACTGGGGACAAAGGATGGGCAGAACCGTCAGTGGGTGCCACCCTTCCTGCCCATCCCCCACACCATCTGTACTGGCCTCCAAAGCACCACCGAGTTGAAGAGCCTAGGGACAGGGTGGGCTGACTAGATGCAGGTGCCAGGCTCCCCCGCAAGTGCCATAACTGATGCCAGGGGGGTCCTGGAGACAGCTTAGGGCAGGAGATGCTCTGCTAACACTGGTGCTTCCTTGCACGATTGGTATCTGAGCTGGAAGGGACACTGGACTGGAGTCCAGCCCTCATTCTAAAGATGACTAACTGGGGACCCAGGGAGTCCAAATGGCTAGCTCAAGGCTGTACAGCTATTGTGCGGAGCCAGGACTAGAACTGCAATTGTGCAACTCCACCTGCACCTGAGATTTCAGGAAGGAAGCTGCTCACAGGGCAGACTTGGAACTAACTCGTTTCCAGGGAGGACACAGCCATGGAGGCCTGGCGTGGTAAGGAGTGTGAGGGCGTGCCAGCTTCAGCCTCTTCCCCAAGTCTTATTCACCAGCAGGTCTTCACCCAGGGCTGTGGAAGGCAAGGGTTCCTAGAGGCATTTACTCACCAGCCCTCGCGTCGGGCCCTGGCCTCACCTTCCCTCTGAGGAACCCTCTCCCCTCCCCCCACCGGTGGTGAGGCGGCATCTCCTACCTCATCCACGTCACTGACCCACTTCATGATGTGCTGGTAAGAGCGCTCGCTGCTAATGTCGTAGACTAAAAATATTCCCTGAGAGAGAGAGAGAGAGAGAAGAAAAGAAAGACGGGGAGGTGGATGCACACAGAGAGAGCACAGTCACGGGGACAGCAAGGGCTGCGGCACCTTAAAGGTTGGGTTCCACTCTCCCTTCTTGGCATCCAGAAACGTCTCCTTCTCTCTCAGACCCCGCTCCCCCACTGCCACTTCCTAGACCCATCACAGAACTCTCTGGGGTGGAGAGGCACCACGTGCTCTGACCTGGACCTTTGGCCCAGGCTGGAGGTGGAAGTTGGGGCCTGCCTGCAGTAAGTGCTCTGGGAATAACTGATGAATGCATGGTCAGTGAACAACTGACAGATGGCCCTGAGCTCCCTCCCCGGCAGGCGGTCTGAGGGCCCTATTTTGGGGGCCAGTGGCACAGAAATCTCAAACACCCAGTGCTAGGAATGTGGGTGGCTTCTCACTTTCAGACCCCAAAAAGGGTGGCTCACCTGGGCCCGTCGATAGTACTGCTTTGTGATGGTCTGATATCTCTCCTGCCCCGCCGTGTCCCTGCAGTACAAAGCCAGTCCGTCAGAGGAGCAGGGTAGGGAGGGGAGGAGCAGAGCTGGGAGACCCTTTGCCCTTGCAGGAAACACTGGGGAGGTGTGGGGTAAAAAAATCAGGGGTGCTTATATCCCTAAAGGGAGGAAAACACACCTGACTCTGCAGCCGGAGGCTTGGTCATCTGTACCGGTGCTGAGGAGGTCTGCAGGGCCCTAGCCCCTCCTGACAAATGCCCCCCTGGCAGATATCAGGAGCCACAACCATAACTGGGCCTCGGACAGCTCCCTCTAGAACTGGGCCATTGTGGCCAGATTTGGCTGGGCGGAGGTTGGGGAGGGATGCTGCTACACCTCCAGTCCCTGTGGGACCTCTGAAGGCGATGCCCATGCTATTCTGGAACCGGGAGGTAGCTCTAGCCGCTGGCAAAGCCAGTGCTTCCAAGGCCTCCAGGCCAAGGAGCCACAGTGGCACCCTGTGGCTGCTTGTGGAAACTGCACTGTGCTGTACCATGGAACTCTCGCCTGGTCCCACCCTAAGTGATGGGGAGTAGCCCGCCCTCTTCCAACTTAACCACAGGGCACCACAGCCCAAGGAAAAAGGGCACAGCCTAATTCTAAGACAAACTCACAGTAGTTTGCCAATCCCTTCTAGTTCCTGCCCTTGGGTGACTTGTGGTCAATCCCATAAAGTTTCTGAAGAAAGAGATTAGCCATTAAGGCTCACATGAGCAGAGATAGGCTTCTGAGACTTCGCGTCTCTCCATCATAGAGGTGGCTAGTTATCCCGGATGAAGCCTGGGGATCATACGCATGACAGTGGCAGCCAAGCAGCAGCCCAGGGTCATCTCCTCCTTCTCCTCATCCCCAACTCACCAAATCTGTATCCGCACTTTGATGCCATCTACCTCTATGGTCTTCATCTTAAAGTCAACACCTGGAGAAAGGAAGAAGCAAGAAGGTGAGAAGTGAGTGGGAAAAGCTCTGTGCACTCACATTTGAAGGGATTTCGTTTTGGTTTAATTTGGCAAAGAGAGGAGATGAGGCAAGGGCCTTCTTTAACCAAAAACTGATTCTAAAGAAGTGTCTGGAGCTTTGAACGGGGCTTTCCTTTCTCCCTGAGCTGAAAGTTGATGACATTAAAGGGCTTGGGGGACATGGGGAGGCAGAGTGAGGTTGGGGTCTTCCTACTCATAGTTCTGGAGAGAACCACTTGTATTTATCCTTCCTGGAATTCTGATCCCTGGGAATCGCAGCCCACCTTATTTGCCTGTTCTCTCTCTCTCTCCATCTTGCCAACAACCAGGAGGGGTTGCGGTGCTGTTTGGGAACGCGGGGAAGGCATGCGGACCGTTTCAACCATGGCTGGGCATGAAGCCTTGGCACCCAGCAAAAGCCCAGCAAGGCCTCCGTGGATCTGTTGTTGCTAAGTCCTGTTTACTGTTGCTGTTTACTAGAAGGAGCATGGGCTTGAAGTCCCAACTCTGGCCACTTAATGCACAGCTGTGACTTTGGGCACCTTGCTTTACTGAGCCTCCATCTCCTGGTCAGTAAAGTCTTCACTGGGGACATTGCCAATCATCTCACAGGGTTGCTGAGAAGACCAAATGAGATACAGTGCCTGGCCCAATCAATCGCAGCCATCATAACCTAGCACAGCGCCTGGTACATAGCGGGTGCTCACGAGTGACTAACATATGCCCAGAAGAGGCAGTGGCATGACATGTCACTGGGTGAGGGACAGGAAGTGCAGAGTTCTCAGCCCCTCTGCCCATGGGCTGGAGGAGCTAAGCTGCCACAAGACACAGGAACACAAGGGATTTGGCAAAGGAGCCCAGGGCAGAGACCTATTTGGGGAAATTTGCAGCAGGAGAAGTCAGCACCAGCAGCTGCAGCAGGCCTGATTCTGAGTGACGACAAAGTGAAGAAGGGAGATGTTTCAATCTCCCCAACCTTAACTGTACCCAAGCACAGTGCCCAGTGATTCAAGAGCTGTGTCTAGTGGGTTAATTAAGCTCCCTGGAGCCAGGTTAGGAGTGGACATCTTTAGCCACAGCTAAAGGCAGAGTTCTGGACAGCCCGTCCCTAGGCTGCACTGCCCAGCCCAGAAGGCCCCCAAGATGCCAGCATCCCCAACACCTCTGCCGTTCCACTTCTGCATTGGTTATTTGCCAAACAGGAAAACATCTCCCCTTATTCATCCTGTCCCCAGCTTTCTGCAAATACAGACTAAATTCTGTCTCTTTCTTCCCACCACTGAGACCAATCATCATTTAATTACAAGAGAGAAAAAGATTCAGAACAGGCAACCTGAACTAAATCAAGTTGGTCAGACATGAATCATTTTTCGCCTGCCCAAGCTGATTCATATCTACTGAGTTGTACTTTTCCAAATGGGCAATGTCTGGCTGCCATTCTTCCATGTGTGCAGAGAAAGGGGAGGAGGGAAGAAGGAGAGAGGCACCTGGCCTTGGTGGGAGGCAGGCACCCTTATTCCTGCCTGGATAAACAGTTACCAGGAATTTGCTTCTCCCTAATACCTGGCATGGAAGGGAATCAAAAAATTCTGTTTCGTGGTATATAGGGCATTCTTCCAAGCAGAACCAGAAATTTTGTTCATTTTATAATAAACCTAGCTTGTCCTCATACCAGCCTAGCAAGCCTGGTTAAGGACAGTGCCTTGTGCAAAGCGGTCACAAGGGGAGCAGGGAAAGAGAAGGTTTTATGTCTTCCATGAACATTTATGGGAACTACGTGCCCTGCACAGTGCTCGGTGCAACAGAGCAGTGAAAAAGACATGGTCCCCGCTCTTACAGAGCCAAGTGGAAAGGAAGCAAAGGCCCCGAGAGGTGAATAACTAGCCAAGGTCAGCACAGCAAGTGCAGAGATTCAAACACAGACCTGTTCCTGCCAGAGCCCATGCATGAACCTTCGCACTGTTTCCTGGGGGAATGAGAGAGAGTTAAGTGTTCACTAGGCAGACTTAACCCTGCTTAGTTTCCTGTCTCCCTGCGGGGCCTTGAGAAGGGCTTTGCTGGAAGAGGAGCTTCCAATACTAAGCGGGACGGAGGGAGAGAGGAAAGCAGGCGACTGCTACCAGAGGCAGGACCGACAAGGAGACAGGGACGACACTGGAAGTGAGGCTGGGCTGTGATTCCATCTCACTTCCTCCCTCACTTCTTAGCTGTGTGGCCAGGGACTGAGGCTGGGGAATTCTGGGGCTCACAGCCCCCATCCACACCCCCCCACCATCTTGCAACCTAGGCCCTACTGGCCGCCCGATAAAATTTGTCTTCACATCTCCGAGAAGTAAACTGCTTCCATTTTGGTTATTCATACGTACTAACATTTGATGAAAGAAACAGAGTAAGTCTATGTCTTTAGAAAGACTTTCCTCCCTCCCTGCCCACTCACCCCTTTTTAAATTTAAAAAAGGTTAACAGCCCCAGGAACTTCAAGTGGCATCTGTTCCTTCTGCTCTCCATTCCCACACACCCTGGGCCCCCCACGGTGTCACCTACCACTCACGCCCTGGCCCCTTCCCTCTCCCTGCATGGCTGCTGGTTTTTTCCACTGCTCAGAAATGCAGGACAAAGTCAACCACTGGCCTTATTTTGTCCCCTACAGACTCCTGCTCTCTCACCTCAGCTGGCCTCACAGCTGCTCAGCAAATGCTTTACTCACATGTGTGTCCACCTATCACATCCCCATAGCCACTGTCCTCCCGGCTGAAGGCATCAGCCCCAGGGCGCCCCCTCCCCAGCCCCGTGCTCTCCACAGGGTACCTTCTCCACTGTTCCATGGCCCAGAGAAAGGCACCTGCTGAAGCCTCTCCTCTAAGGCCACTTCTCTTCTGCAGTTTCCTGTCTCTCTGCCTTCCCTGAGAACAGTCCTCTGTTCTTCTTCCCAAGTCTCACCTCTCCTCTGTCCTCATCACCCCATCTGGGGCACACCCCTCAGTGCCCCTCTTTGCTGCATCTTCCGTATCCGTGGGAAGAAAAGATGTTCTCCATCTACTTCTACCCCCGGTGCTTTCGCGTTCTGTCTCCTCCAAGGCAGCCAAACTTTAAGGTGCACACGAATCAGCTGGGGACAGTGTTAAAATGCAGATTCTGATGCAGCAGGTGTGGGGTAAGGCCTGAGGTCTGCACGAAGCTCCGCTGGAGCCGGTGGATCACACTCCTGAGTAGCAAGCTTCTAGGACAGCGCTTCTCAAAGTGCATCCCTAGACCTGCAGCGGCAGCAGCGGCAGCATTGGGACTTGTTAGAAATGCAAATTCCCGGGCCCTGCCTCAGCCCTGCAGCTCAGGCCTCTGTTCCACACGATCTCAGGCGGTTCTCACACGTGCCTAAGCTGGAGAAGCACATTCGGATGAATCCTGCACCTGCAGTGTCCGGAGCGGCAACACAGGGTGTCGTTTCTCCAGGTGTGCTTTGCACATCCTCAGCTTTATAATTACCCAGGGCGATTTTTTTAAAAAACACAGCTACCTTGACTTGCCTAGAGCTGCGGAATCATAATTTGAGAGTGAGGCCCAGAAACCTGTATTGTTGACAGCACTGTGGGTGATTTTTAGGTAGAGGAAAGTTCAGGAGCTCTAATGTAGTAGAGGAGACATCCATTGGCATTGAATCCTGGGTTTGGCACTTGCCGTGTGACTTCAAGCAAGTCTTAACTTCTCCCGGCTTTAACTTTCCTATCTGTAGAACGAGACACTCGCCTCGTAAGGGTTGCCGTGGGGTATAAATTCAACGATGTAGGCAAAGCACCTAACACATTGCAGTTCTCTCATTCCCACCTTCCCTCTGCTGAATAAAGGCTTCCCGGGAGCAGCCAGGAAAACTGTCCCAGAGAACCCCTGAAGTGGAAGGAATTAAAGACTTGTCCTTTGCTACCAGATACCCTTGCGTCTAGGGACCTGCAGCACCAACATCATCAGGGAGCTTGTCAGAAATGCAGATTCTCAGGGCTCACCCAGCCATGCTGAGGCTTATGCACATTGAAGTCTGAGAACCACCATCTAGGAAGGGCACAGTGGCTCACGCCCGTAACCCTAGCACTCTGGGAGGCCGAAGAGGGAAGATCAATTGAGGTCAGGAGTTTGAGACCAGCTTGAGCAAGAGTGAGACCCATCTCTACTAAAAATAGAAACAAACAAACAAAAAATTAGCTGGGCATGGTGGTGAACGCCCGTAGTCCCAGCTACTTGGGAGGCTGAGGCAGGAGGATCACTCGAGCTTGAGCCCAGGAGTTTGAGGTTGCTGTGAGCTAGGCTGACACCACTGTACTCTAGCCCAGGTGACAGAGTGAGACTGTCTCAAAAAAAAAAAGAGAACCACCATCTAGCACAGCTCCAAGCAGAACCACACCCAAAGCCCATGCTATTAACACTACTTGTCTTTATAGCACACCCCTTGGCTGTGGAGCCCCGAGCCCTGGGAAGAAGGCAGGAATGGGCACTGCCAGAGAGAGGCCCAGACAGGCCAGGAAACTTATGCCTGCTCCCACATCCCACGCTGAGCCAGACTGGAAAACTGGTCTCTGAAAACCTACCCAGGCTGCTCTTCCCTCGACCAGTGGCTTCCAGCCCTTTGAGGCTAATGAATCTTACTGCTTGTTGACTCACACCCCGGCATACCCATTCTGATACTATGAAGCATCTGGAAGTGAGGCAGTGGGTGCACACGGAGCGAGCCTGCTGCTATGGTCTGAATGTCTGTGTCTCTCCAAAATTCATGTGTTGAAACTTAATCCCCAGTGCAGTGACACTGGGAGGGGATTTGGTCACGAGGGTGGAGCCCTCATGCATGGGATCAGTGGCCCTGCAGATGAGGCCCGAGGGAGCTTGTTCGCCCCCTTTTACCTTCTGCCACATGAGGACACAGCTAGAAGGTGCCACCTTTGTAGCAGAGAGCAGTCCTCATCAGACACCAAAT